TGTGATTGTTTCGATAGACGACGCTATCTACTCCTGCGAGATCGTGAATGAGTTCTTTCCGCAGACTACAGAATGTGCACGTGGCGATAGGTGTGAGGTCATTGTTTGCGAAAGCAGTGCTATCTTTCTACAGATTCTTACGGAAGAGTATTGGGCCAGGTTTGCAGTTTGTATAAAGTGAACGCTCTGTAAGCAGAATGTAAGGTTTCCTTTCCAACAGTTGAACTCTATTTTTGCAGCAGCCGGGAATGATAGAATTTCTGCAATAAATCAAGCTGTAGAACGTGCTGAAGACGAGGTTGAAAAAGCAAATAGTGAGAAGAAAACACTGCGCACGTTCAGTGGGCTCTCAGCCGAAAGTAGAGCACAGGTAAGACTAACGAAAGAGGAGGCGAGGTGCTGGAAGTTTTTCTACATTCTAGGACCTGGAGCGGTATTGCGTTGTCAGGACTATAGTCAATTGTAAACGAATCAGCCAGTCGATAGAATACAAGATGAAAATGTTTGACAGAAAAGGTTCAACAACATGTGCAGATTACAACTACGTTATGAGGTACGAAATAGGAGAACTGAGATCACTAATCGATCCCAATGACAGTAACCTTCAACGAGAACGATCAATTTGCAGTGCTGTCATGGCGTACTTGGTGCACTGCAATGCGGCCCGGAATGAGCTTACGTACAAAACGCGCTATGGAAATGTTTGCACAAGTAGTGAAGGAACCGGTGGACTTGTACCTGTAACAAATGGAGGTATTCTGACAGCAGAACAGTTTTGGGTGAATGCTAAAAAGCTATGTGAAAAAGTCAAATATTTAAATAGTTTTAAAAAAATCATGAAATTATCATAGGTAGGAAATTATCCACAGCCAAAGCACAACAATACAGTACGTCAGCCGAGTAGTAGATGTGGAGGTTATTTTGTTGTCGACAAGAAGTCCAAGAAATGGCTCGATTACTACGTGAAATTGCGTGAATTGTATGAAAATCTGTAATCTGTTCCTCATAATACATTTTATCATGTGTACTCAAATCCAGCGTTTGCCGTAAAAACAACGTACGTGATGCCACAGCAACATTGAAACCCTTCTTTATACAATGGAACGGACGCAGTATGACGCCAGAAAATGCACGTCATCACATGAAACAATTTTTTGTAATGGTTGGATGTCGTAGCTTGAATATAAGCTGTAACTTGGTTGGTTTTCCTAGGTATGTTATTGTTGTAGCTGTATAAGCTATACTATTCAGTCACGACGTAGTGTAGCGCGCCTGGAGCATGAACGGTACATCACTGATAAACTGCACAAACTTGGAAGATTTGCCGATCGAAACATAGCCGACATGCAATGTAAGTTAGTAAACCTAGGATGGTACTCATTCTTTTGAATGGGTTCACGGCTATATTGCATTTCCTTGACAGCGCACGACCAAAGGACGCAGGAAGAAATTTATGTGGAGCGTTACCAGAAATCCTGCGTACATGGCTACGTAAAATTAAGGCGGTACGCTGAGGAGGAGGCCAAGAGCAGTGCAAGTATCAAAGCCCGAGTAGCTGAAGTGAAAAAGATGATTGAACCCTTGACAGTGTGAGTGTGACGCCCGCTCATTGTAGTTTTTAAAATACCTAAGTACAAATGATTTCAGTTCTTCACAAGAAGTGGCTGCTCTCGAAACAGGTACATCGCCGCAGCACCTTGAAGAGGACGACGATGAGGACTTGAATCTTTCATCAGATATGTCCGACTATCACGAGAGAGTAGACGATTATGAAGACATTGAAGAACCTAGCGATGGCGAAGGCACAGCGGCGACTGAAGGTATGCGCATCAATTCAGCTCATGTATAGAACCCATGTTTGAAAAAATTAAGATGTGGCTCCTGAATTACCTTCAACGTCGTCGTCGACTGTGCGAAGACGTAGAAGCAGTGGAAGCAAAAGGAAAAGACTGAGCCCACAGGAACTTGGCGACGACGAAGGTGGAAATGGTGGAGAAGAAGTGGGAAGTAGTATGGAGCGAAAGCGGAGAAGTCCTAGAAAAACTGTAAAAACCCCTGTTGGCGAGCCACAAACTGAGGGTGAACATGAACGCCGACGAGATGAAGGACAACAACAAGAACAACAACATGAAGAGTCTGTAGGGGCAGTGTTAAGGCGTGGAGCCGAAGCACAGGAGAATATTTTACTGGGACTCGAGTTATCAAGGCGTAGGCGTTACGCTGCACCCCTGCCAGACCCTGCAGATCACAGGAATGTGCTAAGGTACATGCAAGACCTCAATGATAGGAGGGATACAGAGGGTTTGGGATACTATCGCAGTGAATATGAACAACAGTGTTTCAATATACGGCGCCTCGCTCAACCGATACAGGTAAGTGATTTCAATATTAGCTTGGCCCATGTGTTATGTCGTTTTTTCTCACACAGATTTTTATATGATAAGTTGAAATATTTGACGTTGAAAAGTTGAAAAGTCGATTAGTTCTTTGGTAGTTGAAATGTTGAAAAATTATGTCATTGAAATGAAGTGTAGGGTCGACATAAAACTAGTGTGAGTCTTTGACAAAAACCCTTTGTGCTTTATCTCAGCCCTGAAGGTACAAAATGGGTTCAAAACATGCGACATAGATAAGCGAGGAATGGTGTTTTTCCTGAAGTTGGCTTGAGCAAAAGGTTATATAGAAAGCTACCCAAACACTTGGAGCAGTGGAGGCATCCCTAGGAGGCATAGCCTGTTGGTCATATATCCAGCAACTAGCCATATGCGGTTTAACTTTTTTATTGGAAGAAAAAAGAAAGGGCTGTCAAAACTGCTTAACTTCGCCGACCTGACACTCCTGTCATATTAAAGAGAAACTAATAAGAAACCGAGAGGACTGTCGAAATGGCAAGGGATTCTGTGCAAATCATTATGAAATTCAGTGCCAAATTTTTCATTTTGAGCATGATATTTTGAGTGGGGTAGAAACGCCGTCTCTTATGGGCAAACTCAATACAATCTAGTGCACACATATGGAATACACAGACTGATGTTAAGGATTTCCCATGGCTTCAAGTGCGTGACATTCCTAGCATCAATGGAAGGGGAGTGTTTGCAAAAACTCGCATATTGAAGAATCAAATCGTGTGTGATTACAGGTAAACCCAATGATCTCACAGGCAAAAGCCACCCCAAATGAAAAGAATCCCTTTTCAGAGGCTTGTACGTTACGTTTGAGGAAGCAAGTCGCATGCAGTTGAATATGACTCTCTGCAGAATTTGAACTATTTGGCGACTATGAAGTGGAATACCATGGTAATACGAAATTCTTCTTATGGTGCACGTCCAGCTCCTCCTGGCTCGCAGCTTCAAATTCCGGATTTCAGCTTATCTGCGTGATGAACACAATATCCAAAAAAGACGAAACTATTCGATAATCGCCCATGATCCTATATATAAAGGTGCAGTGACGCTAGGACGGCTGTTCAACCACAGCAGTAAGCATCCAAATATGGTCACTGAACATCCAAACCGTTCCTTCTCGACAGACCAGGGTAAACAGATGGAGTTCATAGTCCTGTTCAGGGCCACACGGAACATAGAAGTAAGCGCAGCTAATCTCTTTTCACCTATAATGGCTTCCACCACTTGCATATTCATGACTATCTGTTCGTTAAGAGTGGTACACAGCTTTTGTGGAACTACGGCAAGCTTTATGAACATACAACAGCAAAGCCCATGGAATGCTTGTGTTCAGATTGCAGTAGAGAACTAGGTAAGTGGATAAGGAAAGCCACACAGTCATATTCATTATGCCACCATATTGTCAAAATATACATTACAGTGTCATCGGAAAAACTTCTCATTGATTTCGAAATACCTCCGAGAATAGACGCCGTGCCACCTGACGACGACTCTTATTCCCAGCAAATGGCCTTATTCCCAAGGGATGGAATGATCGACGTGCGGCACATTTTCACTGCGCGCAATGTTTTCTATTCATTGAATGTAAAGACTCGCGTACTCGGACTCGTAGTTCCTGTGCCTTCGAGCTCTGTTTCGGATGTGGGCATGGCATATCGTCACAGTCGGCTAATGTTCTTAGGCGATGAGGTCAGTGATGAGATTATCGAATGGCTGCGAAATAGTTATGTGGTATATACAACTAAGTGACACATTTCAGGATGGCTTCCCTGCACCGCAAGACGATTTAAACATACCGCAAAACGCGAATGCTTTACTTCAACTGTTGTGTGTTGCGTACACAGATGCGTACGAAAAGGGAAACCCCGTAGTGTTGGCGCTGAAACAAGAACAGGGTAGAACAAGATCGCGCAGCAAACAAAAAGAAACAGCTTGGTAGTATTGCTTAGGCAGGAAAATCGAGGCTGTTGAGAAAAAGCGCTATGGCAACTGCATCATATATGATGATTCGAGAGGAGACTGCCAGGCTGTGGTGAGTACTGATCTCCATTTGTTTCATCCCTAAACGGAGGAGTCATACACGACGTATTACCTAACGCTTCAGATCGAGCAAACCGTGGAAACGGCTCAAGAGAAGTCAATGCTACAGATGTTTGGCGAAGCACGCCTCTTTTACTTCCCAACACCCATTCCAGCAATGTGGACAAAGCTACGCAGCAACGTCACATTAAACGTCGACCAAGCCTCCAAAGTTATGGACGAGTACGATCCCGACAAGGAAATGAGGAGACTAATACAGAAGGAAACTGGTATCAAAAAATGAAGCATTTTCTGTACATACAATATAATATAATAATGTAAAAGCTGTAAGTAGACCATTTGATTAGAAAACAGCGCGACATAACGGGCACTATCATGAGATTGTATGTATACAGTCTTGCTATTTGGAAATGTGATGTGACCCTCGAAAAGACGTGTACACTTCGGGCAATGAATTGCATATCAGTGTTTATTACAAGCAATGTATATTTTTTCCTATACCAGTGCCCAGCTCGTGTGCTGTACACTTTCATAAATGTTATCGAGATATTTGAGTTGAAATTCATGCAAACTTTCTAGGGTTGTCTCGATTCGTATATCGTAAAATAATGGAAAGTACTATTGAGACGTACTTAGGCTGAGGCTAGGCCTAGGCTTTCGTTTGGTTTAGGCTCAGGCTTAGGGCTGGCTTAGGCTAAGCTTAGGCTAGGCTCAAGCTTAGGCCTAGGTTTAGGCTTGGCTTAGGCTTGACTTAGGCTAGGCTTAGGCTTAGGCCTTAGGCTTGGCTTAGGCTTAGGCTTGACTTAGGCTAGGCTTAGGCTTAGGCTTAGGCTTAGGCTTAGGCTTAGGCTTAGGCTTAGGCTTAGGCTTAGGCTTAGGCTTAGGCTTAGGCTTAGGCTTAGGCTTAGGCTTAGGCTTAGGCTTAGGCTTAGGCTTAGGCTAGGCTTAGGCTTAGGCTTAGGCTTGGCTTAGGCTAGGCTTGGTAGGCCTAGGCTAAGGCTTGGCTTAAGCTTATGCCTAGGCTAGGCTTAGGCTTAGGCTTGGCTTAGGCTAGGCTCAGGCCTTCGTTTGATTTAGGTTTAGGCTTAGAGCTGGCTTAGGCTAAGCTTAGGCTAGGCTTAGGCTTAGGCTTGGCTTAGGCTCAGGGGCTTAGGCTTAGGCTTAGGCTTACAAGGGAATGGTTTGAACTTCCCATGGAACTTTGAATGGAGACCTAGGTACATCGATAGAGCCTCGAATGCTGATTACGAATATGCAGATTAAAAGTGCTACGGGGACCTCCCAGACGAGATCTGGGTGGTCAAAGTTTGAGTTCTGGCTCGTAAGCGCTGCTGATCGATGCTCGGCAGTGCCACCGTGGCCTCGTGGTAATGGTCTCGCTTTCAAGTCAAACGCATGCGGGTTTGCATCCGGTTGGCGCGAAAATTTTTGCTTCGCTCCGTATAAGAGCTTCAACTCTAATTTTCGAAATTCTTCCGAATTTACGGCCCAGCAGGGCAAGTAGATCAAGTACATCAAGTATACGACGTACTCGATCTAGTATGGATTTGGTCATATCTGCCCTCTCTGAACATATTACCCATCCGACAATTCAAAGTTTTGCCCAGAATCGCAATTTGGCCAGACGAGCGTTTTTTCGTCGAAG